GAGTCTGTCATCTAGGAATATATCAGTTAGGAGTCTGTCATCTAGGAATATATCAGTTAGGAGTCTGTCATCTAGGAATATATCAGTTAGGAGTCTGTCATCTAGGAGTCTGTCATTTAGGAATATATCAGTTAGGAGTCTGTCATCTAGGAGTCTTGTCAGAGCTAGGAGTCTGTCATTTAGGAGTCTATCATCTAGGAGTCTGTCATCTAGGAGTCTGTCATCTAGGAGTCTGTCAGCTAGGTGTCTGTCAACTAGGAGTCACCCGTGCGCTCATATGACCTTATGCAGTTGCGAGCGCCGTAAAACACTTACAAAAACAGCTATGAGTCTGTCAGCTAGTGGTCTGTCAGCTAGTAACATGTTGGGTAACAGTTTCAGCGTGAAGTCTATCAGCCTGCAGCCGTTTGTGTCCGGTGGCCAAGTGCCTAAACCGCTACGCCACAGACGCCAGGGAGCCGGGAGGTAAAAGACACATTTCACAAACAGAACTTCTCAATATGACACAACAGTGGCACCGACATGAAGTGGTCACATAAACAGAACTTCTAGCTACGACAGTGACACCGACATGAAATAGACACATTTCACAAACAAAACTTCGAACTACAACTGTGGCACCGACATGAAGTGGACACATTAACAAGGAACGGACAGAAAGTGGGCGGAGCATCAGACCACACGAGAGTTTAGGCATGGGTTATCCCTTCAAACCGACACACAGGTAGTTAACGTACTCGCCGGCTGCTATCACAATTCCTGACAAGATCTACCCGGAGGCGAAGGGTTCAAATGTACGCACCATGTGCCTCGCTAGTTAACACCCAAATGATGGACAAAACACCCATCTCGTTATAGTCCAGCGCGTAGAGAATCCCCCCCCCCCCTTTCCAACACTTTTTGCGCTATATAAGCCTTGACTGTGTCAAATGGTGCGTTCTATAGCTAACCGGAAAGAAGTCAGAGTGCGTGATCGAGGATGTTGTAACACATGTCTATGAATTCAAGTCACATGAAGCATTCGATCATGAATCGTATAACTATGGCCCTGATGATACAACGCAGACTTATACAACACGAATGCAAGACTTTTTGGTAAAGAAGGAAATGGACTTCACTTTCTTTTTGAATGTCTCAAAGAAGAAAGTACAAGTACAAGCAAGTTAATACTTACTCTGGGATCCCCTAGTCCATCCCACGTGAGAAAAGTATCACAATCTAATGATGTTTAACAAATTCACTAGCAAATTAATTCACCTTACAAGGTTTGTAAACCTTGGAATAAAACTTGTCAAAAAGAAAGAAATTAAATAACTGCCAACGTTACTGACAATGTGAAGAGATGCTCGGAACACTTGTTGATAAACAACTAGTCTGATTGTATTTTCAGACCTGAGGCCTCACACATTCCTAAAATACAATACTATAGTCGCGACAACAGTCACAATGTTCGGTTCACCGTTACAACTCTCGAGTCATAGGGGGATTGCTACTCTGTCCTAATGTTGTATTCGGCTATTGTAAAAGAAGAAAAATGAAATACAATGGCGAGCCAGGTACAGAGGAAGTCTGCTACAACAAGCATCCGAGCATCGTGGGTGTGACAGGACCAGTTAGAGAACCAGTGTGAGAATCAAAAGAGAACTAGTGAGAGAGAACCACAGCTAGAACCAGTGCCAGAATCAGTTAGAGAATCAATTTGTGAGAGAGTCACTCAGTCACAGTATGAGTCCCCACCCCGCTGGTGTTTGAGGCGCCTGTCGACATCCATACAAAACTCACCACGCCAAGGAGATTATGTTGCTATTTTTAGAGTCACTGACAGACATCTCCGAACATAATAAGATTGACATTTTCCATTTCCGCTTATTGGAGAAACAAATGACTCCGGCACTGACAGGAACAAAAGACATATGAGGGCTACTGACAACTAAATATTTCTGCTATGTCAGTTCTTCAATATAAAAAAACACATGACGTGGGCGGCGTCAACCACCGTTCTGTGTGAAAGTAAAACATTCACCAGAGCTGAAGAGCTTAAAAGGGAAAGGGTTTCGACCTAAAAAATCTCTGGTTGTTGGGTTTGGGTTTTTTCTTTACCCATAAGTAGACTTTGTCACAAATTCTTTTCACTACCTACCAAATACATGTCGTGTACTTTGTCTGGGATTTTTTTTTAATCCGTACTGGATTTTGCGTTATAATTTGGTAAAGAAAAGATTGGTCCTGACAGGCACGGTCGGAAGCCCTCATCCTAGAGGATCTAAGTTGTACAGATGGGAACGTAAGAACACTTGCAACCTATTTAACGTGAGATATTGGTTGTTTTTGTTTTGTTTTCACGTTTGTTTGGTGGGTTTTTTCCCTTTTTCAATTTCAATAATATGCTTCTCGCAAGCATTCCAACCGACCACTGACTGTTTAAGGTACAGCTCACGTGCGTCCGTCAGGGTACTGAAATAGCTCGTTCACTTTCTCGCGACAAGTTTCCAGCAATTTTGAATTTATTTTCTCCAAAACTGACTGTCGTATTGCCCTCTTTTTCATGCAGTCTTATATTTTGACTGATCATAAGTTTTCAAGTCTTTTGATCGGCCCGTTGAGCGGTTTATTCAAAGCGCCGAATTCCTTTGGTCTTTTTGGAGGATCACAAGATTCCTGACCGGAAAATTCAATTTTGCAGTCATAAAAGCATCATTGAAAGTCGTTCTTTGGCGTGTTCATCCAGTCACACACCGTAAGGGGGAATATTTTCGTCAGGGACACTATCACAAACAGGTGGCTAAAGTTTCAAAAGCGCCCCGACGGACATCCAGTCTACGGGATATATAATAATAATAAGTGAAGGTGAAGTGAAGACAATCTTATAAAACCATAAATTTAAACTTATGAATATCTTAGACTGGGCACTGCAAAGGCCGCCGAGCTTCGCTGTTTGGAAAATCTTTTTCTGCGCTGGTGCGCACCATGAAAACGCCAATAAAGGGCAAAATTCAAGTCTCGCTATAGTCGAGTGCGAGCGCAACTTTTTTTTTTCGTTTGTTTTTTTAGTTGTTTTGTTTGTTTGGTAATTGTTCTACGGCGCTCGCAACAGCACAAGGTCATAATAATTTACGAGCGCATGGGACACAATAAACATTTTCATTTTGGTAGGAATTTTGAAATTTGCCTAGGTGGCGGCCAAAGCCTACTCTTATCGATTTTGGACCACCAAGGGATCTTTAACGTGCGCAACTTGCACACGGGACCTCTGAGATTTTTCACCCTTGTCCGAAAAGGCTATGTGTGGATCTGTCCTACCAGAAAATTAGGGATTCGGCTGAAAGACAGCAGTGAGAAGGAGGTAAGGAGTAGCAGTAGAAAGGCTGCAAAAAGAGTCAGGAGCCCAAAGGAGGGGGCAAAGGAGATGAGGGGGTGGGTGCAGAAAGTGGAGACGAAAACAGACGACAGAACACTGTTAAAGAACAGAAAAGATGTGAAAGGAGAACATTTTGGAGAACAAAATTTTCATTTGCTATCCGGATTTCGAACCCGGGACCAATTGCATGCGAGGCCATTTAACACTTTTAGGCTACGAGAGCCCCTGTGCACAATTTTCCCATCATTTCCTTCATTTGGTTGCATATGGCGTCAAAAATGTTACGCTCCATGCTGAACAGGAAGAATTATGTCAGGAGTGCCTTCTATCCTTTAATTCATGTACGTTATATTAATACAACTTAAGTCTATATTTAAAACACACTTTAGGAGGTTCGAAATACAGGGGGAAAAGTGCGCAGCGAGAAGAAAATGGGAACACTCTTGTGTGAAATCGCCATTGTTGAACGCAGTGACCTTGGCAATGTGAACCATCATACAAACCAGGTTGAGGTTATTTTTTGTTTTGTTTTGTTCTGTTTTGTTTTGTTTTGATAGTTGGGTTTTTTTTAGGGGGGGGTGTTATTTGTTGTTGTTGTTGTTGTTTTGTTTTTGTTTTTGTTTTTGTTTTTGTTTTTGGGGGGTATTTTGTTTGTTTGTTCGCTGTTGTTTGTTGTTGGGGGTTTTTGGGAGGGTTTTGTTTGTTTGTTTGTTTGTTTGTTTGTTTGTTTGTTTGTTTGTTGTTGTTGTTGTTGTTGTTGTTGTTGATGTTGTCGTTTTGTTTTGTTTTTGCTTTTTGTCTTTGGGAGGCGGGGTTGTTTGTTATTGCTGGTTTGTTTTGTTTTGTTTTGTTTTGTTTTGTTTTGGGGAGGGGTTGCTCTTCTTTTTTTAAACTTTTATAATAAACAGAGATGAAATCATCATTCTAACGGCTTCGATTTACGTAAGACAAAAATATATTCCCGAAGGTCAATCGCATTCCAAACCCATATGAGCAAATTCCCAATGCATAATTTAGTCAAGAGATAACTTGAGACATAGCGAGGCAAACGTGGGCACGAGAAGGTGAATGGACGTACAACAGACCACATGCGCTATGATGTACTCACGAGCGATCCCCCCCCCCCCCAACCCCCCAAATCCAACTGGGAACATCGTGTTGCGTGTTTCTCTTCCCTGCATTCACTTCCGCTAAGATGCATAATTTGCTGACTGGCACCATCAGCCATCGCCCTCGCTCTAGCCTGCATCATCAGGCATGGGAAAACTTCGGCCAGCGGGTAATTTGTGTGGCCCTCAAGCAATTTCAGTCCGACCCGAAAGTCGATAACAATAGTACTTACTTTTACTTTTTCGCCCTCTGTTGCCGTTAAGCGTCGTGGGGCGATGCAGTTTTCTATGGTAGACCAGCTCTGCAGCTCTTTCAATTCACAATGAGATATTATTATAATTTCTCAGGATTTCCTTGACTTTCTCAACCCATCTTTTACATGGCCCACCTCTAGGCTCTTCTTCTGTAGCCGGAGAACTTGGTGTTGTAGGCTCTCGAAGCTGGCTGGCTGGCTAGCTAAATGACATTCGTAACTCGTGGTCAAAACATTTTATTCTTTGTTTTTCTATGAAATGCAGGCAGGACTCAGTGCCAATAGTTGCTCTTACTCTTACTGTCGACATAATACAAAATTATAATGAATGTCGCTCGTGATGATCTGATTAAAAATTAATTGGAAAAAAAGGTCCGTCTGGACAATTAAAATTAATTTAATAGTATTCAGCCCGGCTAGAAGCATCAGACAATAGATCTGATATTTTATTTCATGAAATGTCCTTGAATAAACTCGATTTACATTATTCATTATGCCATTGCGTTAGTTTCCGTCTCACTTTCAAACCCTTGGGAATTTCTGCCGATTACACCCAATTTCCTCCTGCTTTGGCCCGAGAGATATTCGGAACCGCTTAATCTCGCCAGCGACTCGGACACACTTGCCCATTCGTGCCTTGCATTTTACACCCCACCGCCCCC